GTGCTTCATGACAAACAAGGTCAAGCACAGTAAAATATAACCTTTATAACCTTCCCAACGCAGTAGCCCCCTCCTTGGCACTGAGGTTTAAGGGTGGAGGCTGAAGAGCCCAAGGTGTGACCCTGGGAGCCATGTCCAGCTCTAGATCTTGCCCATCCAAAGTGCTCTGGATTAGTGTCTAGAGCTGCCGTGTCCTCTTGGAAGCTTGACCAGAAAGGATCCAGTCTCCAGGAAGTCACAGTCTAGCTGAGCACCATCTGAAGCATCCAGTCTCCCTCTTGAATGCCATAGCTACCATCAGAACAGTGGCCACTGACTGGTCCAAGAAGCAGGACCTTCCAGTCTGTCACTCATACTTCATTTGCTTTCCCACACCCATGTCCTTGCCCAGGCCCACTCTATCCCAAGTATACAGATATATAGTTTATCTTCCATAAGCCATGTTACATGGTCTTCCTTGCTACAGCCAATTAGAGGCATTGATGGCATAGGCAGGCATTGATGGCATAAGGCAGGCAGGCCAAAGAGAACAGGGAAGGAGTGGAGCTGCTGGGGTGATGCTGTAGGCTGGAGGGGAGGGAAAGTGGACCATGTCCTCACCCTACTGATCCCTCTAGTTTCCTCACCTGACCCCTCAGTCCCCACAAAATGATCCTCATCATTGATCTAAGTGAATTTCAATTTCCTGTGGGACCCTTTTTTTTCCATACTTGCTTGAGAACAACCTTTACCCCACAATCTCCCCTCACCCAGTACCAGTAAAAATAAGGACACCCAAAGATCAAAGACTCCAGTCCCCATGATCCATGTAGCCACATAGCTATCTTTCCCAGGGATACTGGCACTTGGATGCCACTTGAAGGGATAGGATTCCCCCCCCTTCATGTCTCAAACCTTTCTGTGGCCCCTCCCAAGTCACTGTAAGCACTCTGGCATCTGCCTGGGCCTGCAGAACCTGGCCCTGGTACCTTGAGGCAGGAGTAGCATGGCAGACCACTTGACATTGGGTTATTTTTAAACTAGTTTGAATGCATAGCAAATGAATTCTACTTTTCCCATAAGATCTTGTTCTTTCTTTTTAATAACAGGTGATTTTATCATCGGTCTTTTATACCCTATGAAGCACACATTTCCAGCACCATGAGGCAGGGCCATGCACAAAGCCTCAGCTCTCTATTGATGTCTCATGCATAGAGCTCTGTGGTGGAAACTTTAGGCTGCTGACACAAGGGCAGGTCAGCCCTGGCTCTGGCCATAATAGTCACTATCTGTGGCTCCTTCCTTAACTCACACATGAACAGTTACTGGCAACTCCTTGAAATGGTGAAGAGGCCATATGGTACCAGGGTCCATATGAGAATGGCCAGAGTTAGTGCCCACACCCTGAATGCCCTGAACTAGTCTAGTTCATGTCCTCGAAAATATGTGTCAGGCCCCTAGTGCCCAAAACATCTCCTCTACAAAACTCTCTACTGATAAAAGTGTCCAAGGCCTCAGGATCAGGGTGTCTTCTGAGACACCAAGCCTGGGTTAACCTCATCACAGTAATGAAGAAAAATGGATAATCTGTCCTATTCAGAACTGAATAGAAAATGAAACTGTGAAAAGCCATTTACAGGGCTGGGGAGGTGGTTCAGTGGGTACATGTTTGTTATGCAAGCTTGAGGACATGAGTCCTGATCCCCCAGAACCCATAAAAAGCCAGATGCTATAGAGAAGGCTATTATGATCTCATGGCTTCTGCAGAAAGATGGGAGGCGGGGACAGAGACTCCAGAAGCTAGTGGGTCAGCTAGCCCTATGCATGCAAAAGCAAACAAGAGACACTCTGCTTCAAACAAGACAGAAGATGAAGACTGACACCAGAACTTGTCCTCTGCTTTGTGCCATAACACGCATATAACCACACTTACTCAGATGAACATCACACACTCTCACATAAGAGTGTTAAAAGAGTCATGTGTAAAACCTCTGAATTCAACATTCTATCCAAGTCCCACCTACATGCAAAAGTCTCTGAGTGCCCATGTACACCGCACAGATACACAGATATAGTTATTTACAGGCATGTGTGCTTGTGTTAGTACACACATTCCTCATTAATGAACCTGTCATCGAATTTAGTGAATTCATCTGCATGTGTGCAAGAGATAGGCAGGCCAGCAGAGAGGGATAGAGACAAAGAGAAAGAGATAGTAAGAAACATGCAAATAGAGAGGAGGGGCTATCAGAGGAGAAACAAGGCTGTCTCCACCCCTTTGTTCTGTGAAGGGACAACCTTCTTGTTACATGAGATTAGAATCAGTCTCACATCTGCTTCCTGCTAAACATAACTGGAGTGCTGGAGTGCTGTCTTAATTACTAGCAGAGATCTGTTTTTTGTTTGTTTGTTTGTTTGTTTGTTTGTTTTTTTTGAAGCAGGATCTCATTGGGTAACTTTAGGTGGCCTAAAACTCCTATGTAAATCAGTAGACCAGGCTGGTCTTGAACTCAGAAATCAGCCTAACTGTCTCTGCTTCCTGGGTGCTGAGATTACTGGTGTGCTCCACCATGCCTGGACTGAAATAATTTTTTGGTCTAGCTGATCTATAACAATAATAATAGCAATAATGGTAATAATAGTCATCTATGACTGAGTTATACATATGGGACATTAGAGCAGCAGTTTGGCTAGTGAGGACCCAGTGCCCTTCCTTTTCCTCAATAGGAAAGAAATTCACAAAGACTGATACAGACTGACTAGCAAACATCTTCACAGCACAATTCTCCAGTGATTTTGTGCTTGATGAAAGCTGAAACTGGATAGAATCCTTCTGCATAAACACACAAAGTAAATGCATGCTCTTGCATCTGTCTGTCCCTTAAAAACAATGTTCTTGCAAATGCTTTTTGAATTATGACCCTAAAATACCACCTTCTAAGAACAGCAGTATTAAATCAGTTGTTTCTCCAAAAGTCGGTTGTCACAAATCAACAAACACACATGAGACAGCATGTCAAACACAAGAATGAAAAGAAAAACTAAAAGCACCCAGTGCAGCAGAATCCCCCTCTCTTTCTGCTATTCAATCCCCTCCAGGCTCAGTGGAGTTTCTGGTTCCTCCCCTGCAGCTTGTCTTCACTCTCGGAAGCCAAGGCTGCCAAAGATGCTGACCGGGTTCCCGGATATAATCCCGCTCTCTCATTCCTACCACACTGTTTGTTTATGTCCCCATAATCCACTGAACCAGTCAGTGAGAGGTTAATGAAAAAACAACCTTTATTCAGAGGCTGAGCACATGGGAAACATCCAATGGCAGCCTGCCTGCTGCATTCTAGTCGGTCACAGCCACCTGGATCCACAATGGGGTCTCAGCAAATACAGCCAGCCGCTGTTCACCCCCTCCCCCGCTTCCCATCTCACACAGACCTAGTGGGACCTAGATTAGGCTGAAAGATTGAACTGCAAAGATCTGACTCTGAGAACCAGATAGTCTGCCCAAAATGCTTTTCCCACCACTGACCAGCAGGGGACTTAAGAGTTCGTAAGCATTTTTGTACAAATCCTGGGAAGTGGTTGTTGGTTTGTTTTTTGTTATTCAGTGTGGGTGGGACAGGTCTAACTCTGTAGCACAGGCGAGCCTTAAACTCACAGCAATCCATCTGCCTCAACCTCAAAAGTACTGAGATTACAGTTGTGACGTGGTATACCTTGGTTGTTGTGAGACTTCACTCTGGACCTATGCCCAAGAATTCTTCATTGTTGTACCTTTTTTACCCTAGATTAAAAAAACAAACAAACAAACAAACAAAAAACCAGTTCTTAATTCCTCAGGAAGTCAAATGTCAGAAAGGTAAAACCCAAGCACCATGAAGGTCTGCCTGTTTCCCCCGAAGCTGGAAGCTGTACTGAACTGTAGCCAGCTCAGATGTCTTAGATGGTGGCTGGTGACCCACACACACTCTTTCTGGTCACTTCTTTTGGTGCCCCGCCCCATCACCCCTATGTGTTTATCTAATGTCAGAATCCAGATACTCTTGGAGGAAACCCTGACTTGGGGTACCACAGGCTGAGTCCCTACCAAGCCATGGCTGTGCCATATCAGATGGGAGTGTGCTTGCTCCCCTAGCCTTTCTGATTACATGGTGTCCTTTACTATGTACTTCTGGAAAATGGGGTGGGTGGGGCAGAAACTTAGATCTTGAAGAACTGCAGAAATAAAAATTCTGACCTTGAGGCGTATTCACTCCACACACACCCTTTGGGTCCCCTGAAATCCTTTCATCCCTTAAAAAGAAAAGCAGAAGCTGACAGAGGGCTATACTGCTGCAAAATGCACTGATGCACAACCTTAGTAATTATGGTGTGCCTTGAAAGAAGCTGCTAGTCAAATAAGAGGAGCCTGGTTTATAAGCCACGAATAAATGTCCTTTTACTGTAGATGCTTTATCTATTCATATTGAGTGTTGCTGCTCTGCTTCTGGCTTCTCTTAGCCTTAGTTGTAAAGTTGTAAATGATAACCAGACCTACATTTCTCCCAGACCCTGTAGACCATGGATCACCCCCAGAACCCTGGATGCAAGTTCCCATCATCCAAAAGAGGTCACAGCTAAGGCCTGGGCCACACGGAGTCCCCTGAGTCCAGTCGAGTTTCCATGTAGAAATGTTTGCTACTTCTGTAAGTCTTGCCCTCGGGGTCAGCAGGAGACCTGTGGTGGGCAAGGAGGGTCAAGCCATTGTACAACCCCAACGGCCCAATGGGCTTCTGCTGGTGACAGATTGTGAGAGCTGAGTGTGTGGTGATCACTGTCCTCTCCTCGACAAATCTTTCCAAGTCATCTTCGGAGAAGGCAGATAGACCAATGCACCGAGTTCGGTGTGCGTGGGTACACTGCCCCAAACCCACAGTCGCCAGGGCAGAGACCGAGGTGACTTCTTCACCCACAGACAAGCAGTAGCCGAGGCCTTTGCTCACTGGAGGTGGGGGCTCGCAGGGAGGGGAAGCAGCTGTTGATCTGCCTTATTGGAAGCGAAGCACGGCGGCCTCAGGGACCTGCAAAGGGAAATAGGAAAGGAAGGGGATTCCCAGCTGGGAAAAGCCGCCCTGAACGTGCGGGTCGAACACCAGTGAAGCGTTGAAGGGAGGTGGTAGGCTGGAGGAGGCAAGCAGTGAAGCGCCCAGAAAGCCCGGCACGGACTTTGGGACCCCCAAGGCCTCCGCCCCTGAGGCTGGCTTTGGCCTCCCGGCCAAGATGCTGTCGATGCTGAAACTCTTAGACTTGGAACCCTTGGGGGAGCCGCTGGGTGAAGGGCGCAGAGGGGACACTGGGCGATGCACCGTGCGCTCCCGTTGGCCGCTCACCACAGCCCGGGTACCGTGGACTGTTCGGTCCGCGTCAGCATCCCAGGGCTCAGGACTGGACCAAGGAAGGAGCGCCGGCCGCGCGGTGCCTCCCGTCGGGGACTGAACATGATCTGGCGCGCGCGGCGGGCATGCAGTGGCCAGGCCGGGGCACCCTGCATTGCAGACCACCTCCGGCTCCGGTGGCTCCGCCCGGGGGCGCTTGGCCTCCGGGGAACTCGCGGCGGGCTTGGGCTTCCTTTTTCTGCGCCGGTAGTTGCCGTTCTCGAACATGTCCAGGCATCGAGGGTCCAGCGTCCAGTAGCTGCCCTTGCCCGGCCGTCCCTTCTCACGCGGCACCTTCACGAAGCACTCGTTGAGCGACAGGTTGTGGCGGATGCTGTTCTGCCAACCCTGGCGGTTGTCGTGGTAGAAGGGGAACCGGTCCATGATGAACTGGTAAATGCCGTTTAGTGTGACCCTCTGTTCTGGCGCGTCCTGGATCGCCATGGCGATGAGCGCGATGTAGCTGTAGGGCGGCTTCTGCGGGGGCTCGGTACGGCCAGGACCTGCCAGCGCGGCGGCAGGGGTGAAGGCCAGGGGCATCCCAGGCCTCTCGGGGCTGTACACGTACAGCAGCGGCGAGGCGGCCAGAGCGGCCAGCGGGGGACTGAAGAGGTGGCTCATAGCGACAGGAGACTCTGCGCTCTGTGCCGCCCGGGCAGCCTAGGGACTTCGCCCCGCGCCAGGGCCCTCCCGGGGAGCCCTCCGTGCGTCTGCCCTGAGATCTGCCGCTCTCTCCAGTCGCTGCGCGCTCTGTCCCTTCTTCATGGCTTTAAAAATGTTAAATAATTGTTGTAAGTTTGCTATTATGTGTTGACTTAGCGCTGGAAAATAAATTGTCTATGATAAACAGTCCTTGTGTTCTCAGCCCACCCACATTAATTAAAATTTCATTGCTGAAAATCTCCCAGCTCTTCCCTCCACGTGTCCTTTTGATACCAGCCAATCGGTTTCGGGGCTATTCCTCATTTGTTTATAGAATTAGTCTGTTGATAAGTCCGCCCACCCAAGTTGAATCAAGCTGTGTTTATTTGGAAAAATTTCCGGGCACCCAATATATAAACGCACTGATCTGATGTTTGAAATACCACGTCCACCCCTTGACGCTGTAAGCACACAGTCAGAGAGGCAGGATGTGGAGGGAAGGTTGGCTCTCCCGAGCTGGGTCTGCTAGGCCAGGAAGGAGGGACAGGGATGGGGGTGGGGAAGCAAAGGGACATATTTTAAGGCTGGTCTGGGGGACTCTCTCACAAAAGATCTTTTATTTTCCCCAAGCTTAATAGGCAATGTAAAGATAGCACCCTACTCTGCATTTTGGAGAGCTGGGAAGACATTAGACACACCTCATAGAGATGAGCACTCTCTAGGGGACTATTGCCCAAAGGCCCCAATAACAGTGCCCCCAGAGACTCAGAGGAAAGGAATGGACCCCAGAAGCCCAGCCTTTTTTTTGCAAGGGTGAAAGCAACGAGCTCTGGGGAGCTGTAGGTAAACAGAGCACCTGGTTCCTAGCTCCATTAAAGATTGCGAACCCCCCCCCAAAGTGTGAGGGGGAAGGTCTTTCTGGTCTAGCTAAGGTTGCTAGCAAGGCACACCATAAAGGGGGGGTGCTGGCAGCTGGCGGGGAGCTGGTGTTCGTGAATGTGGGTCTTTAGCTCCATACTCTGTGCCTTCCTGTTTATAACAAGGAGGGGGGTTACAACAGCTTTACAAGTGTGCACAGCTGGCTGGTGATTACATTAAGCATTTGTGAAGCCTGCATGTTAGTCCCACCCACCCACCCAGGGGTGTAAGCATCCCCCATCCAGGCTCGCTTTACTTTTAGCCACGTCAAACTTTGAATCCAAACTCCTGAATGATGCACATTCCAAAGGGGGCATCTCCTCAATTGGCTCCCCTCCAGTGGGGCTACTCAGGTTAGTCTCTATTCATGATGTCTTCCCGGGAGTGTTCTTTGAAAGGGAGTGGAAACAGGGTGAAGAGCTGGGTTAGTAGCTGTCTGCTGAGTAATTTGCCCAAGAAGAGGGGAGCGTTTGGAGGTGCAAGTGGGTAAAGAAATAGCCTTCTGCCACCCTTTGGAGGCGGAGACACACTGAGCGCCAATGAGGGTACCAGGTTTGGACCAGTGGCTGCTACTCAGACAGTCTCTGAACGTGGCGAAGTGGGGTGATGATCGTCCCATTCGCAAGTGAGAAATCTAGAATATAGCCTTCGGGTTTATGATGTCTTTGCATCCCACCACCACAGAGAAGCAAGTAAGGAAATGGAAACTGGAAGTTTAAGCACTGGCTTGGGGGGAAAAAAACAAACCAACACCTCGATTTTGGTGAAAGGTGGGCCTGAGGCAAAGTCCAGCTAGTAAGTAATTGCCCACTCCATCTCCCTCTGCGACTGAGTCCCGCAAGCAGCTCTGGCTACCAGACTAGGTGCGGGGATAGGGGTGGGGGATGGGAGTGTGTTTCTTCCAGAACCCTGGCTTTCACCAGAATATCCTTTTTAATTCTAGGGTGAAATATGAGTGAGCAACATCACCGTTGGCACCCGGATCCCTCGACTCTGAGCTCCCTTAACAGACCCAGAGTTAAGCCAGTGTCACCCAGCAATTCCCTCCCCTCACCTCTGAAACCCTCGCCAATCCCAGAGCTCTTCAGAACCCCAAATCCAGCAAGCACCCACGACCCTCCCAATAGGCGCGACCCGCTGAGCTGTCCCGGCGAGTCTTCTGAACCCTAAGGCAAATCTGAGCTTGAATTCCAACAATAATAAACACCGCCCACTTTAGGCGTGGGCTGGGCGCCGGCCGAGACACGCCTGGCAGGTGGGCGGGGCACAGCTAAGAAACGGGAAAAAGTTTAGAAACCTTCACCAGAATTGCACCAGCAGTTTGGAGGCTCAGGGCGCGCAGTTGGCAGTGTCTACAGGAGGCTGGAGCCAGTGCACCCGGTCGGCACGGGCGCGGTCTGCTGCCTGGGCTCCCAGGTGACACTCGCAGCCTTAGCCCAGGAGAGCCTGCTGTGGCACAACCTTCCTCGGGGGCGCATTCGGGCCTTTCCGGGGACTGAGACGCAAAAGCCAGGAATCTGCTAGCCCAGGAGCGGATGCGCCCTCGTGCGGGCACTCAGTCCTCTGAAGACCGACCTGGCCCGGTGGGGGAGCCTGGGAGCAGTGGGTGTCACAGAAAAAAAGAGGGGCTCCAACCAGGTTCCTTAAGTGTTCAGATCCCGAAAAACAACAAAAACAACCTCGTATGCATTGGACATTCAGTTGGAGACAGCCACCTCCCTCCCAGGAGAGCCCCGTGTTCCTCCAGACGCCTGGGAGAAGAATGGGCAGTGGTTTCTGCGTGGGATGAGAACTGACAGCCACATTCCCAGTGCTGGGACAAAGCGGATGTGCGCTCCTCCGGGAGGCACCGGGAAGAAAGAGTCAGGATTCTCTCCCACCACTCCCAGGCACACCCAGAACAAAGTAGGCCTCCAGATGAAGGCTATCTAGGTTTTCCTCCCAGCACCTGCTCTTCTTTCCTATTCAGATGACAGTATTATAAGTAGCACCCAGTGCAGTATGTTTAGGTGGGGACTCGGACTGGTCACCCTAATGACAACTTAAAACCCGCTGTGGACACAGAGTGGTGATAGGGCCTGCCTTTAATCTCAGCACTCTGGAGGCAGAGGCAGGCGGATCTCTGTGAGTTTGAGGCCAGCCTGGTCTACAAAGCAAGTTCCAGAACAACCAGGGATACACAGAGAAACCCTGTCTCAAAAAAACCACTGTAGATAATGCATCATTACTAAAGGGAACTGAGCAACATTGCCTGCAGTGTGAAGTGGTTGCATTAAGTCATTTCATTTCCATGGCAACTCTAAAAAGTAGTAGCTTCAGGCATCTTATCACAACTACTCAGGAGGCTGAAGCATGAGAATTCCAAGTTCAAGGTCTATCTGGACTGCGCAGTGGAATCAAAGCAAGCTAGACAACTTAGTGAGACCGAGTCCCAAAATATAAAACACAAAATACGAAAAAATAAATAAATTAGGGATGGGGTTCTCACTCAGTTGGTAGAACACTTGCCTAGCATTCAGGAAACCCCCAAAAATCAGGTGTGGTGGCCTATGCCAGTAATCCCAGCACCTAAGGGGTAGAAGCAGAAGGATCAGAAGTTCAAAGTCAACCTCAGCTACATGTTTAAGGTCAGCTGGGCTATATGAGATGCTGCCTGAAAAGGAGGAGCTGGAGAGATGATTTAGTTGTAAGAACACTTACTATTCTTCTGGTTTTCAGCACCCACATAAGGTAGCTAACAACCACTTTTTAACTCCAGCTCCAGGAGCAGAATAATTAAATAATAAATAATAAGATATTCTTAAGTAAAGTGATTTGTAAGGACAGTGACATGACACTTGCCCAGTATGTTTGAAATCCAGGATTCAGTTCCCAGTAATACACACACACACACACACACACACGAAATGAAAGAAAAAAACGTTTGTTATTTCCATTTTCAGACCAAGAAACTGAAGCCCAGTAAGTTAACTTGTCTGTTCTCCCATGGGGAACTGTCCAAAGATAGGGACACAACCATATTACAACAGCCACCCTGAATGTGGCACTCAGGACCCCTATGGAAAAAACTTCCTTCTCAAGCAGTAAAAGGCACCCATTCTACAGAGCATGAAACTGAGGCTAAGCCACAGAGCACTCCCCAGCTACTTCCACTTCGGCAACCGGCAGAACGGGAATCAGAAGCCATAGGTTGTCCTCAAAGGTGGATTCAGTGGGGCCTGAATGAATGCTCAGGAGTCCTCAGGAGATTGAGGATTGGAGAAGTGTGCAGCCCCACTGTTGGGAGCCTCATGGTACCCCTGAATCCTCATGCACAAACCCAGAAGGTTTTATTTCTCTTCCCCTCCCCCTGTGAAAAGAGCCAAGCAGAGTCTGCCCCTGCTTCTCCTAGGGGGTGTAGGTGGGGGTAGGGCCTAAAGAAAAGGGTGGCAGGCCTGGTCAGCTGATGCTAAGTGGGGCCCAGAGAGCAGGGTTTTCCAAATGATATACTTATTTATAGAGCACCTTGTTCCCAGAAAAGAAGGGAAGGCTCCCAAGGAGGCCCTGAAGGCCTACCCAACTCTAAGTAATCCAAATAGGCAAGGTAGACAACAGAATCCCTTCTGAGAACTGCCACCACCGTTAAAACTCTTTTTCACAATCCTAAGAAGCATCACCCAAGAGCCTGGCCTGGAAGCTTAAGAGAATGGGATGATGACGACGACCTTAAGACTGTTTATAGGACCTGGAATGGTGTTGGGGCTTCAACTGTAGACAGAAGCAAGGTGCCTGGGGAATAGCAGAGTCAGGGCTGGAAGGCCCCAGCTGTTTAATGGCCATCCAGGCTTCTCAACCCAGTGGCCAGAGCCAGAGATCCAAAAACACAAGGCAGAACAGGCATGGTTGAACAGAATTCAACGGCAGAACTCCATGGCAGCACAAGAGCTGTTTGAAGCCTCCCACTACCCAGCTCTCCTAGTCACCTTGGAAGTCTGCACCTCTGTCACTGCCCTTCCCTCCACCCCAGCTCTGCATGTACTCAGGGCCCCTGGGATGCATTCCCACATTTGGACACTTAGAAAGTCAACAGTACCCAATGGACAGGCTCCATTGTCAAACAACGCCTATGGCACATGACTGTCTGCTGTTATCCATGCAGAGCAGGGATGTCAAAAAGAAAGAAGGCTGATTCAAGTTAAAGGTGCATGGCACCTTCCCAGGCCTTGTCCCCAGTGAAGCTGGTGGCTGCCAGCCTCCTAAATACCCTGGAAGCATACCCCCTTCCTTACATGCCTGTGTCAAAAAAGCAAACATTTTAAATGCCTTGGCAGTGGAAGGCAAGCAAGAAAGGCGGGCAGGGAATGTTTCTCAAAGTTTGGGAAAGTATCCCAAATATTCTGAGCTG